GCGATCTGGCAAGGTGTGCATCTCCCTTGTCAACTTAAAGCATTAGTTTTATGTAGATACTTCTCCTCCTGATCCTCCTGTCTCCTCCTGCTGCTTCTGACTTCCCCGCAGTGGGACCGCAAAGGCTTTCTCGTTACCTGCAGCAGCACAAGGGCAGTAATGGGATAGGCTGTGGAACAGCCCAGCAAGAGAAGGTAGAGGGGAGCCACGCTGTGGCCATGCCTTAGCTACAGGCCCCAGGTGAGAATCTCCCCTTCAGGCAGCCAGCTTGTAGGGAACAAGGGAACCAGAGGGGTGGGAGATGTCTAGCCTACAGTAATGGGAGCTCACTTATTTCCTCTGCAATTTGGAGGACAAAGCCTCCAGCACTGTAGAAGCTACCTGTTCTCCATGTTGCCACAGACCAAGGCTGGAGGCATTCCCCAGCTAGTGGCAGCACAGTGAGGTGTTGTACACCCCTGCCATTTCCTTCTCTCTTCCTTTGCCTTCCCAAAGCTCCCTAGCAGCAGCTGCTCCCCATTCCCATGTTATATTTGTTCCACAGACTTGCTGAAAATTAACTTCTGCCCTGTTCTCTCCCTCCAGCCCTGTTCTGGGAGCTGAGCTAATGGCAGGAACCAGAGACTGATATAACTTCTGTACTAAAGAGCTTTGGCATCTGAAGCTTGCATGTGCTGCAACAAGATGCTGAAAAGCAACAAAACCGATGAGACAACTGGCAAGTTACTCAGCGACCCTGATGAGTGTGTGGAATGAAGCGGGGAGAGGAGGGTTTCCAACCACCCAAACAACCAGGATGTTTTTATCACTGCTGACAGGGCTGCTCCTTTGACCCACAAAGGAAAGTTAAGGAATGGAGATAACCTGCTGCAGGATGCAAAAGCTCTTTACAGGTAGGACATGAAAGAAGAAATGTTTGAATTGATAATAAGAAATACATAAAAAGGTTACAGAATGTGATAGCGTGTCTTCTGCAGCTACTGAAGTGTGTTGAACAAAATGAGGGTTCTCTGCTATTTGTATGTTTTGTAAAAATGTTGTGTATTTTTAGCATTTTGTGGAATGAAGAGTTTTATGTGCTTTCTATTAAATGTTGCTGGCAAATGGTTGTGAGACGTACCAGCAGACTTAAACACACAGGTAATAGCCTCAGCTTCCCCTGGTTTTATACACTTTGCTGATACTTACCTTTCCATAGTAACATTTGAAAGATTTTGCTATAAGCTTTTCTTTTGTTTAGAGAAAAAAGTCGATTCTGCCATTTGTTCAGCCTATATTTAAGCCAAACAGTGAATTTCATAATGGAAGGGAAAGTGGTATAGTTGTCTGGTTGACAGGCTAAAGGGAAATGTTTTTAACAGCTATAAAAAACCCAAACACCTAACATTGTAAAACATGTAGTTTATAAATCAAAGCTCCAGAGGGAGATCTTTATCAAAGCACTTTATTGACGTAAACACATCAATCTTAAGCATGGCTAGAAGACTGAAGTTTTAACTAACAGTTCCCAGTGTGTGGTAGACTTTGCTCCACCCAAGGAGCACAAGAAATATGGCCGTTGAAGCGTGAAGTTCTTCCATGGACAGTTCAGTTGTGTCTTTGGATACAAAGCTGCTGAGCTGCTTCCCTGCCACTCATGTAATTGAGAGATGAAGTGTCTCAAAAGTTTCAGATTACTGGTCCTAGGCAGCAGTGACAGTATGGGAGCAGCTGGGAAGAAGTCTGCTTCCTTCCAGGGAGCAGGACTGTTGTGGGCAGGCCCAAGTATGCGCAGTGTGGTGGAACCCAAGATGCGTGAACTGCGTTGGTCTGCGGGCTCAAACACACGGCAGGTGACTCTAGCGCACAACACAGCCATTTGCCCTGGGGAGCTCCTGTTACAGCATTTGCAGATTGAGAGTAGTGAATGCCATTCAGGCACCCCTGGAAGGCTCTGCCCAGAACCGAGGAATGTGAAACAGATGTCTGCTGCTGGCATTTTTCCTGGACTTGAATGAGGCTGTTTGTATTCACCACAGCTGCTCTAAAGGGTCATAGTTTCTGATGGAATGTGTCCTATTACAAAGCATTCCAGAGCTAAATTTAGGGGTAGCTTTTTGGAAAAATAAGAGTCTGAAAAGAAATATTTGTAACAAATTAATGTTTTCTTCTCCCACTTTATCTCCATACAGCAGGAGCCAGCTAATGATCGTTAAAACCAGGGAATGGAAGACTTTTTGCTAGAACTGGCGGTACATTATCATTCAGCAAGTATCCAAGCTGAGAGAGCCTGTACAAGCAGGACCTGTGATCTTCAGCAAAGTAACTATGGTTTGTCCTTACTGTTGTTTCTATGACCTCATAAATATAACATCCACATCACTTAAAGAAACATGCCAGACCTAAAGTAATAGAATTCTCCATCCCTAAGATGGAGCAGAAGTCAGACCTTTTCCTCAATATCCCACAAGAGTCCCTTTATTGAAAAGTCATCCCCCAACTATAAACAATCTAACCACATACTGTTGCTTCTCTGAAAAGGTAAACGGTACAAAATGCACCCCAGGGTTACTGTGTACAATGTGCTTCATGAGGCAAATGCCAACATCCCAATAAACTATTCAACACTATTATTATGTAGTGGTGAAAGCCAAGCAGAGAGATTCAACAAAGCATAATTTACTGATTCCTTCTCTATTTGGAGTGCAGGTTGAAACAATCTGTTGGCAGCTTAGTCATCCTTCTGTTTTCCCCCAGCACATATTTGCATTTTTCTCCCTCAAAATCTGGGAGAGCAAAATTCATTTTCTAAAAAAACCCAAAAAACCCAGAAAACAAAATCAAACCAACCAAGCGTGTTGCCTATGAGCTGCCTGTATGCATTGCCATGGTTGAAGTTTCAGTTGTGGTGCAAACGCTGGCAATGTCAGAACTAATCAGTTCAGTGATTCAGCAAGGGAGGCAGAGAGGAAAGATAGTATAAACAGCTGGGTCATTGTGCTCCTTTCCCAGTGTTAACAATACATAAATATTGTCTTTATTTACAGTTTCATTCATACATTCAAGCAAGCACTGATCATTCAAAGGATGCTAAGCCAAATAAGCAGATAACAGCTGTTGCAGTGTTGGCTTTCTGTAGAAGCCCTGTGCAAACTAGGTGCCTCTTTTCTGAAATGGGAAGATTTTGATTTGCTTCTGTCCTATTTTGCTGTGACTTTAGATGTTACACTTGGGTCACCACTGCTTCAGCTTCCTCAGCTGCTCAACACAGACTAGACTGGACTACTAGGCTATGGTTTACATAGTGTTCATAAGCTTCACCATTTTTAAAATAGCATCTGAAACCCTCCAAGAGAAAATACTACTGAAATATAAAGCATTACCATCAAACAGGTAAGCACAATCTACTTTTTAAAAAGTGTATTAGTTACTCTCTTGTCGTGGTTTTACCCCAGCTGACATCTAAGCAGCACACAGCTGCTCTTTCACTCCCCCTCAATGGGATGAGGGAGAGAATTGGAAGAGTAAAAGTGAGAAAACTTGTGAGTTGAGATCTAGACAGTTTAATAAGTAAAGCAAAAGCCGTGCGTGCAAGCAAAGCAAAACAAGGAATTCATTCCCCGCTTCCCATCAGCAGGCAGTTCAGCCATCTCCAGGAAAGCAGGGCTCCATCGTGCATAACAGTTACTTGGGAAGACAAACCCCATCACTCAATACGTCCCCCTGCCCTTCCTTCTCCTTCCCCCAGCTTTATATGCTAGTATGACATCATATGGTATGGAATATCCCTTTAGTCAGTTGGGGTCAGCTGTCCTGGCTGTGTCCCCTCCCACTCCTTGTGCACCCCCAGCCCACTTGCTGGTGGGGTGGGGTGAGAAGCAGAAAAGGCCTAAACTGCTTAGCAACAACTAAAATACAGAGCTTTATCAGTACTCTTCTCATCCTAAATCCAAAACACAGCACTATACCAGCTGCCAGGAAGAAAATTAACTCTATCCCAGCCAAAACCAGGACATGTCTAGATGACTGATGACAATGAAGGTAACATTACATGTGTGCATACACCAAAGTACCTGACAGGATTTTTTTAACAAGTTATTTTTCCATGTGGTCTTTGATTAGAAACATCTCTTACAAAAGTTCTAGTTAATTCTGGAATTCTACCTTAATGAATTTTTCTATTGTCAATTTCTGCCAAAGACAATAGTTTAGTAAATGCCACATTTCCCAGACCAGAAGCATAGCCTAGGTATTATTATTAAATCTCAATACGTTTAAAGCAAAACTTGTCATTTAGCTGTCAAACTTTGCCAGAAAAGTCTTTCAGCAGAGAGTAGCTGGACTGTTCATACTGAAAACTATGAATGACTCTCTCCTATATTGTGGCAAGTGCATGAAAAAAAACCACAACCCTATCTCAAAGATACTATATTTCCTACCACAAGTAATGAGTAATTAAATCACATTTTATCCAGGTCTAAGAGTCCTCCATATTTGGCTAATCCAAGCTAATATAATAAAAACCAGGCAGATGATAGAAGTGTTTACACTTATTGCTAAAATGTGTTAGAACTTTGTACACGTGAACCTAAACAATTTTTGATGTCTGAAGCTAAAATTATATTAGCAGTCCAAACAGTCACATGAACGTAAAGATTTTAACTGTCAATTGGCTTAGTGTACTTGTAAAGTCCAGTGTGCAAAATCCACTTCTAAAATGCAGTTTATAGCTAATCTGGATAGTGAGAAACTAGTTAATAACAGGTTGAAACAAGTATTTTTAAAGAAAAATCTACTGATGCAATGACTAATAAAACTTAAAAGTCAATTTTCATTATATTTTTTGTAGCTGCCTGTAAACTAATTTCCCACATACTATTTTTTGTAGGAGTAATGAAACATTTCTTTAACAAAATCCAAGTGATTTTATTTTGCTCATAGATAGTATAACACTAGCATCACCACTTATATACAAAATTAGTTCAACATAGCAGAATACCAACGATTTCCTCATCGGGCAATTATGATCGAGCAGACAAACACTGATTCACTACTTCCAGTAAGTGAGAGTTTTCCAAAGCAGCCGCTACACGTTCTTTATCAGCAAGCTGTTTATTAACTGTGCAGAAAAAAAAACACCACAAGAAACCGGTCAAAACACAGGTATACAATGTCTTTGTTAAAGCATTTTACATCAAGACATATAATTGCAGTGTTGCTATGGTAATTCTGCAGATGCTAAGTACACTGCAGAGTTGTGGTCTAAAGTCAAAGCTCCTATCTTACCACAAGTTAAACCAGCAAGCTGCTCATGATTCAGCAGCAGGGAGCTACACATGTGTAGGTGTAACACAAGAAGAAATTCACCCCTAGCCGCTCCCCATTTTCTGAGTCCTCCATAACCCAGGCAAATCAATGACTAGTTGAGAGCACAGGTTGCCTGAGATGTCTGAAGTGTAACACAGAACATATCTAAGTGTCATTATTACACATTCCTGTTCTGTAACATCCCCCAGAAGTGACACATGTAAAGTCTCAGATACTACACAGCTGCTCTGCAGGTGTGGGAGTCTCTCTCCTCTCTAATGTTCAAAGTTTAAAAAAATAATAAGGATAACCACACAACAGAGCACTACAAACCTTACCTGCATGCTCAGAGGCATGTGTTCCTGGTGTTATATGAACATCCAGCTTAAAAAGCATCACAAAAGAAAAAGGAGACAAGTCAACAAAATATTGGCAGCTCATGTTCAAATTATTTAATAAAAAACCCCAAGGCAATAACAAAAACAGGGGAAAAAAGGGCCTTCTTGCCAATACTGTATATAGCAGAAAAAATAAAGTCTAAAATCACAGAATATTCTGCATCCCCATCTGCTTAAGCGTGCTTCAGACAGGGGGTGAGGCACCAACCTCTGCTCCCCCCCGTGCTGCAGAGAAAGCCCTGCAGGCAACTTCCCTCCATACCCCCGCCTGCCCTTGGCATGACTGTCACAGAACCGTAATTCTGCATCGATACTGTCGTCCACTGCCTCTCTGTTTCTTGGAGTGTTTCCCCCACCCATAATATGAAAAAAACCTCTGGTTATTTTTCACTGTAAGTTAGTTAGGGTTGGTTGGGGGTTTTTCCCTTCCCCCCCCCCCAATCCCCCTCTTTTGCTCTCCAGAGCAATTTGATTACTCACCTTAAATCTCTCAGGCAGAGATCTGATCAATTTTACTTTTATGGAGAGGCCGATTAACGTCGCCATGCTGCAGTGAGGAATGGTGGGAGTGAACTCCACTGCCACTGTGCTTTCTGCGTCATTCACCTGTTGAAAACCAAACACTTCCCATGTACAAAACTGGCTGGCTTTACCCCAAACTGGCCACATTTTATGTGAAATGCAACTTGAAGCTGTACTTTGCCGCTAATAGTTTTCTTCACTGACATTTTTAAATACTATATTTAGCTGCAGTAGACCGCTATAATAAGCCTCTGTCGACGATAGGAAAAAATAATTAATCAGACGGCAGAGGCA